CAGGGCAAAGTGGAGATTCAGTAAACTTGAGGGTAGGAGATAAAATGTTAGTAGGAGGTAAAATGTTGAGAGAAGTGTGTCCTGTGGTAAGGAGTCAGCCTCTGGCTCTTTGAGGTCACAAGCTTTGCCTTTTGGCACAAAGATGAAATTTATTGTTGAATCTTAACTGAGTTTTACTGGCACAGTAAAATTCTAGGTGTACAAGCATAGTTGTATGCTCAGCACGAGCTCTCCAGAGCAGTCTGGAAGTTGCAGTGCCTTTGAAGTGTGGTCCCTTGATCTGATGAGTTTCTTCTTCTGTGGGATAGCAAATGCACTGTCTGATGGAAAAAGCACGTATAATAGTCTATAGACTTAGCAGATATTTGAATAACTGTGAAGTGTTATTGTCTATTTTAGTTAAGCATTATTGATTACTCGTCTAATAGGGAAGCAGTATCAACTTCTATAATAGTAGAGCGTTATCAACTACTTCTGTAGTAGCACATTAAATACATTGGCATAGTACAGCTTGCATATTGTCCACTTCAAAAGAGGGTGGCTGCCTGATAACAGCCAATTGCAGGAGGGTCCTTGACTCTGGACTGTGCCCGGGAGCTGTTTGGGAGAGTGCTAGTTGGCACAGGCTGTGAGATGTTTAAACAGCTTACTAATGCATATGGTCATGGTTCAGTGCCTGAAATGTCCCCAGACTCTGTTTAATTTTTTAATCAATATGTGGCCTTCAGACACTGAGCCTCTGCTGTGTAATAAAGGTAGCAGTGCTGCAGACCACAAAGGAGGTGAGATTGGTGCTGGTTTCTTGCGACATTAGTAGATCTGGTAGCCAGTGGGGCCAAAAGCATTGCTCTCCTCCTACGTCTATGCCTTGCTGTATCAGTGCAGGGTGGACTAGGAGGGGAAAGGCTGCTGGCATCAGCAATGCACATATGGCATGCAGATAATGCTATCACTGCAGTAGCTTGCATGAAAACAAGAAGTGCAAGACAAGTGTCACGTTGATATGGCACTGCACTTTGCTTTACCTGCTACCAGTCCTAGTAATTTTTTATACTTATTTTTATGTCGTTCACCCATTTTTAATAAATCTCTGTATTTGATTGACCACATATTGCTGCCCATCCTTTTGGGTGGAGATGGCAGTGGAACGATGGCACAGGACTTTGCAGTATGTATAGGGAAAAACGAATTCATGTAGACCTTATACAAGTCTTCAAAATGACTCAGGAGGCTCTCAAGACAGTGTACAGCAAGTTTGATGGTTAAAGGATGACACAATTCAAGAGAAAGAAAACAACCCTTTTTTTTTTTTTTTCAAACCTTAGAAATCAATCTTGTGTCTGGTGCAGATGAGCAGATCCCTCAAGTCTTGAGACAGGCTATTGCAAATGAGCACAACAAATATGAAATCTTACAGAAATTGCTTTAAGTAGCAATTTCTCTTTAAAATTGCTGTGAACTAGGGATGTTATCCTTTGCTTGCCCTTATTGCTCACAGGCAGTATTTTTTTCATGGCATGGTTTGCCTTAAGAGGCCAGCAGTGTGCAGGATGTACCCCATGGCAAATTACCCACTGGCCAACCCTGCTGCTCTTGTACTTCAAAAAGAGGTGCAGCATTTGCACCCAAATGATTCTGGGACACTGCTGACTGGGGATCACCTTTCTCTTCTGAATGTCTCCAGCTTCATGTAATTTCTAAGACTTAAACTGGACAGACCTAAATTATCTGGTTATAGCTTAATAAGTCATGGTGCAGGAAGACAATTGGGATGCCCAGCGTAACTGTGAGCTTGGGAGGGGTACCTTGAGAAGCTGCTCCCAAGCTGCTCCGTGCCAAAGCCCCACAGATCTTTTCCCTTTTGGTCCATCCAGCAGAATGCGGTGGTACTTATGTTGTCCTGCTGAAGGAAGGGACAGGAAGGAAGGGCACTGAGGCATGAAGATGCAACTTGCAATGTGCTGAGGCTTTTTTATGATTTCCTTTAATTTTTTATTATTTCCCTTAACACCTGTTGTCTATAGATGTGAGCATTTTTGTCTGTGGTTTGTCGCTGCCATCTTTACTCTTTAGTATCCACAATGTCAAATGAATGGTTACCCAGAGAGGTGGTGGATGCCCTGTCCCTGGAGATACTCAAGGTCAGTCTGCATGGGGCTCTGAACACCTGATGGAGTTGTAGGTGTCCCTGTTCATTGCAGGGAGTTGGACTAGATGGCCTTTAAGGGACTCTTCCAGCTCAAATGGTTCTATGATGACTGTATGAAATCTGATCTTAACCAAGCAGCTCCTTACATTCATGGTGCCAGTAAGTCCGCCCATCTCCTGCTAGCCATGCTGCGCTCTGCTTCTCCAGCAAACACACTGGTGATTTTGGGTAGCAAGACTGGGCCCTCCAGCAGGCTGAGCGTTGCTGTGCTGGTCATTCTTTCAAATTTGCTTAAATAGTATATATTTCCGGCTGAAGTCAAAGGCTTCTCCTAATTATATTTGCAACCCCCAACGAGCACTTATGTTTCCTTCCGAAAGACAAATAGTGGCTCTCTCGAGCACTGTGTCCTGGCCAAAGAGCAATGGTGTAAGGCAGTGGCAGAGGGGGGCCATGGGGTGCAAAGCAGGGCCCTTTCAGAGGGCCTGGGAGTTTGGCAGTGTGCCTATGCCACAGAGCTAACATAGGGAAGCCTTCTTGGGATGGGATACGTGCACTCACTGCAAAAAGCCGCTGAAGCGGAGGTGGCCTGGAGGCTGCCCTAAGTGACAGAGGAGAGCAGGCTTATGTTGTTTCCGTGGCAAGTGCTACTGAAAGGGAGATGGCAGGGAGAGTCTGAGAAGAAAGCTTGTTATTCTGTAGAGCACACACGCGTTTATGTGTATTTATATGAGCGTACTTCACGTATACTGCCATACATAGCTGTCACTGTTTTATCACCCAATTGGATCAGTCGGTTCATGAGGTTCATGCTGATTTTCATTGTTCTGATTGATCTGGGTGGAGAAGGGCATAAAAGCGGATTTTCAATGCTAGTGAGTCTCCATGAGAGGGAAAACTGAAAGGGCTGCAGGAGGCAGTGGAAGGTAGTTGGCAGTTGCCTAGGGGAAGTCCTCCTGCAGCTTGGTTCAGGGGGATCCAGTAGGCTGCTGCTCCTGCAACACATTTCTTGTCTGGCAACCACTCCTTAATACAGCACACTCTTATCACTCTCCTCAAGCCATCAGTCCCTGCTCCACCCAGGCTCTATCTGGGGGCTTCCAGCTCAGCTGACCCTTTTGATTATTTGCCTTCCCTCTGCTCTTTCTTCTCAGATTCCTTCCCCTCTCTAGTCTCCTTTTTCCCTTGCCCACTCATCCAGGGCTGCCCTTCTTTCATTGCTGACACTGCAGTATTTGTTCCTGCACCGCTTACCACCCAGCTTTTGTTGTCTGTCTGCTTTGTGTTCTCCTCAGCTTAGATAAGGATAAGCAGGAAAGATGCCATACAGAGCCCTTTTCAATTTTTCTAGCTGTTCCTCTCTGTGTTAAGGGAGTTTGGAAAAGTTGAAAGTTGGAAAGAGTTCAGCACAGCCAAGTCTAGGACTGAAATGAGCACTTTGCTCAAACACTAACTCGTTCTTGACAGAGCTGGGTTTCAATTCTGTCAGTTGGATGGGATATTTGAGACAACTTACAGCAGAGAGGTGTGTTTTAAAATAATAATAATGACAATTAATAGAAAAGGTAGGAGTAATTAGTTTCAAGCCATTTGGAGAAGGAGATCAATACAAAGAGCCTGCAATAATGTTTGTTAAGGAAATACTTGTGAAGCCTCAAAAGTTTTGTGAAGAACCAGGCAAATTAAGGGCTGCAGGAAGAATTTCATCCCAGAGAGAGCTGCAAGGAAGCTGACCTGCAACCAGCCAGCTGCATCACAGCAGCAGTGCTACACCAAGCATAGAAAGTCACTAAGAAGCCAAAAGTCCAGAGAGCTGTGGTGTCCCATCCCTGCAGGTGCTCAAGGCTAGGTTGGATGGGGCTCTGGGCAGCCTGAACTTGTGGGGGCAGCCCTGCCCATGGCTGGGAGTGGGGCTGGATGAGCTGTAAGGTCTCTTCCAACCTAAGCCATTCTATGGCTCATAGATTGTCTCCAGATATCAAAACCATTCTGGAGAGCTTGGAGTGAATGTAAATCAATGTGAATGCCACAACAACCCCAGACAATGCTACAGACTAGAGGCAGAATGAATGGAAGACTGAGTGGAAGAAATGGGGGTGTTGGTCAGCACTCAGCTGAACATGAGCCAGCAATGTGCCCAAGTGACCAAGAAGGCCAGTGGCATCCTGGCTGGTATCAGAAATAGAGGAGCCAACAGGAGCAGGGAGATGATCATCCCTCTGCACTCAGCTCTGGTGAGGCTGCACCTTGAGTACTCCATTCAGTGCCAGACTCCTCACTGCAAGAAAGACATCGAGGCCCTGGAGCACGTCCAGGGAAAGGCAACAAAGCTGTTGAGGGGTCTGGAGCACAAGTCTTATGGGGAGTGATTGAGGGAGCTGGGATTTTTCAGTCTGGAGAAGAGGAGGCTGAAGGAAGATATCGTTCTCTGCAACTGCCTGAAAGGAGGTTGTGGTGAAGTAGGAGTTCCCTCTCATCCTTTTTCTAGTTAGAGAGGGTCCTCTACTCTTGCTCACCCAGGGAAGATTCAGGTTGGAAATCAGGAAGAATTTAATTTCTGAAGGAGTGGCAAGGCACTGCAATGGGCTGCCAAGGGAGGTGGAGGAGTCATTGTCCCTGGAGATATTCAAGAAACATTTGGATGTGGTACTAAAATACATGGTTTTTGGTAGAACTGGTGGTACGTGAATGGTTGGGCTAGAAGATTTTGGAGGTCTTTTCCAACCTTGGTGACTTTATGATTCTAAGGATGCATCTGTGTGTGCCTCTTGATATCAACTACTTGTGTCAGTGGAGAGGAAAGCAAGCAGGTGTTCGGGTTCAGTTACAAAAGCGATTTATTTGTGCTCTTTACTCAGTGCCCTTAAGGATATGTGCCTTAGCATAAACTTCCTGACCCCTGAGGAACCGCTGTTGTCTCGATAACAAGCATTAACAATGCGTTAATGCTTATAATAACATTTTGTATGGTAAAAGATTGTCAGGATTTACAACTTTGAACCTGTTATCCTCAACCTGATTAATACAATTATATTTACTGAAATGATTGCAAGGGCACTTCTCTCAAGATAGGTAACTATTCTGGTATGAATAATTAAACAATTATGGCTAATTTAACTGCTGGCATACATTTTAAAATGAAACAGATCTTGAGCAAAGATTCCAGGCACTTAGCCTTTCACTCCAATTAATTAAAAATGAAGTTCTTCTGGTCTGTAAGAGTGATGATTCTTCCGTCTCTGAAAACATGGACATGGCAAGATATGTGGAAATGAACCACATGAACCTCTACTACATCACTCACTCACAACTTCTGCTCATTTTATCCAACTGATACAATTCCTCTATCCTCTCAGGTTGTTTTTTTTTTTCCTTCTTCTGGGCTTTCATTGATAAGACTTTGTGAAATAGGCCAAATTCTGTTTGTGCAGCTGAGCATTGTAAAGAAACTCTCTGAAGCTGTTTGAATGTATACTGAAGAGTAAATGTTTAAAAATGTTAATCTCTATAGAAACGTCCTAAAGTTTATTGCACTTAATATTGTGAATTGTTCTCTTATTAGGAAAGCAACTGAGAATCAGCGAAGGTCAGAGCCCTGTTTTGCCAGACATTCTATAAAAAAAACAAGCCACGAATGCCGTTTTTTGAGCTAACGAGTTTGGAACGTAGACAATATTCTCAAACTGCCTGTCAATTAATTAATAAATTAATTGTTTTTTTAATGTGAGTTTTGCATTTAGCAGGGTGTGATCCAGGTAGTCTAGCTTAGGTGAAAGGGATCTCAGGAGCATGCGTAACTTTTTGATTGCTTCATCTTGACTTCGATCTTCATGATATTGAGTCAAATTCAAGTCACAACATCAGAATCTATGTGTGTAGGTGTATTTTAATCACAGAACTCAATGATTTTGGTCATTGTGCAAGTAGCTTAGGATTAGTAAAGAGACTAAGAAGTTCATGAGTCCAATCTTCAGCTTGCAGACTGGAGTGCTCAGAGGAGGCTTTCAGTCTTGGCAGATGCCTTGGGTATCAGCTTCATGCCTCACCTGTGGGGTTGGGAAGGCATTTATTTAGTCCCTAGTCCAAGGCTTTTGACAGTCAAGGGACAACACCCTTCTGTAGAATTTGGCTCGTTTATACAGTTCAATTAACGTATTTCAGGAAACACTGCATGAAGTCTCATGTGAAAGACAAACATGAACAGCCAGGAAACAGCCTTTAGTGATGGCTAAAACGCAGTTGTCTGGAAGTATAGGCTCAATGTTCTGTATGATTTTACTGTCCACATGAACCAGTTCCCTTTTTTCTTGTCTGCTCATTACACATGCAGCCACAAATATGCAAAGCTTGCACATCACACAAAACAACTTGCACATTTATTTTAAACGGTGGGGGTTTCTTGATAAGCCACTAGCAAGGGGACACGAGGATTTCTCTGGTTTGGGCCCACTTGATCGACATGAAGACAGGGTGCCCCCTGGAGAGCTGGATCTTCACACCAAGAGAAACTGCAGAGGCAGAGAGAAGCAGCTGGCACTTAGCAATTCCTGTTGGACTTGTTTTCCTGATCAGAAGCTGCTTAGTGGTAAAGAAAGCGTAGACTTTGTATGGGAATTCCGTGCCAGTCTTGGATGGTATTTCAAAACTGCTCCTAAGTGGCCTGCCCCATACCTGCTGTATAGTTTCAGTCAGATGTTTATGTTACCCTGAGTGAAATAAACTAATTCGATATGAACTGAGCCACACTGTAGTTTTTACAAAATCAGAATGGGTCATGATATCATTATTATCTTAATGATGTCTTTGGTTACACATGCAGCTGCTTGGGCCTGATGAAAATAAACAGAAAAAAGTATGGCATGTGGGGTCTGCTGTTAAAAAACGTTCTCTTTTGTACAAATAAACTTTAACTTTCCTTCTTTCTTATCTTTTCCAGCTCTTTTTGTTGAACTTCTTTCTTTTTCTAGTGCTTTTCCTGTTATTTTAACTTACTTTAGTACAGAATTTATGAGGGATTTTCAAATTTATATTGGAGCAAAGTGAAATAGCAGTGCCCTCAGGTCTGAAGGGGAACAATGGAACAGAGACCTGATTTGCTGCACTGCAGTAGGATGACTTTTTTTGCTGGTGAGGGTTAAGGAGAGAAAATAAATATATCTGTTGGACATAAACTCTTGTTAACAATTCTTCCATGCTTCTTTTTTTTTTGAATTTTTCTTCCACCTTGACCCTATCAGGTCCGAAACTTCATCCCTCCACCTTTTAAGGTTAAACAGACCAGAAAGGCTTGTTCCCTCTGCAGTTTCCCCATTCCATTCCCACTTCCTACATTTCACCTTCCCTCTCTCCCTCTTCTAAGCTGATTTGGCCGCAATATTTTCAGTACTGGGTTCACAGCCTTGACAGTTAGAACCATGTCTCCTTGGTCGCTGTGAGGAGCACAGATAGCTTTTGATTTACAAATTAGCTCAGGGAACATAGTAGCGTTGTGGTGGGAACCCCACAGCTCCATCCCTTGAGTCGGGGAGCAGGACTTATCTCACCATGGCTCTCAACAATCTTGTCTCCATGGGATGTTGCCAGATATGCTTCTGTGAAAAAGAGAAGGAAGCTGTGTCATCACACACCTCTCCAGTAGGATCCAACATAGACCTCATTTTAAGACACTGCAAGCAGCTTGCTTAGACCTTGAGTTTATTTCTGGGGTGGATGACTGATACCCTTCCTCCCCAACCCAAAACTATGTACCAAATGCCATGGGGAAAGGTAAGATACCGGTACAATATAGAATTTAACTAGGAATTGCTCCTGAACTGTGGGACGAGAAGGCTGAGTCATACTTTTCCACCTTTAGATTCAACAATCAACAAAATCTCCTGTATGATGTAGGAGCCTGGCCCTTGGTATTGCTCTCTTTGCCTTAATATGCAACAGAGATGCAAGCCTACTAACTGCTATACTGAGCTAAGCCTTTCTTACTTGCACTGGCTTTGTGTTGCTGATATAAATGGAATAAATCTTGGTTCATGCTGGCATAAATCAGAGTAGAATCAGTACCACTGTATCTTGAAATCTCAGTAGACGTTCAATCTGAATTAGAACAGATTTTAAATCCCATTGATCTCACTAGGCTTTGGACCAGGTCAAAGTTAAGTTTTGCAGTGATTCATGTACCTTTGTTATCAACAGATGATTGGTTCTTGATTCACTAGTAATTAATAATAATGATTCATAGGAAGGCAGAAGCTGGTGGTCAAAGGTGAAGTGAATCATCCTGTCTATGAACAACCGTCAATGGTTGCAAACAAAACCATCCTGCTCTTTTTCAAAGCCAACATTTTTTCTCCCCATTGCCATCCCCAACTACACCCATGGCTCTATACTTTTGTGCATTAACCTTGCACCCAGTGACACCTGTAATGCTGTGTCATTTCCTTCAGGTCTGGTCCTGCTGTGGTGCACAGGAGAAGATGCAGTGCTGACCAGACACCCATGATCATGCCAGCTGCTGTCCTTGTGCAAGAACTGTCGTGGTCTCACAATTTTCTTTGCCCTTTGTTTTCACCTCTTTATTAAAGGTTTTGCAGGCCAAATTGTCACCTGGGTCACATTGCCATCTATGATATTTAGCTATGGGGCAGCTCTCTCTGCAGACAGCATCAGGTCTTTGCTAACGTCATAGAACCATAAGATCATTAAGGCTGGAAAAGACTTCTAACATCATCTAGTCCAATGATCTACCTGCCACCAACATTGCCCACTAAACCATGTCCCTCAGAATGTCTAAACATTTCTTGAACAACAGTTCGACATCAGTTGGACTCATAATCTGTTGTAGTTCCAAAATTACTGAAGTCCTTAAAGGATGTCCCACATCAGTGTCTTGGAGAGCAAATGTATGGATTCTTGGATGTGGGAGGGTCCTCTTACTGGACTTCTCACCCCTAAATTCAGCTAAGTGCTAGAGGGTGACAATACTTTTCTCAAAGCATAGACAGGTTAATGTGTGCTAACTGCCCTGAAAAATCAGCAGCATTTCTGTGTGCTCAGTGCAAACAGTCCCAAAGTAATAAACCCAAATGTTGTTGGGTAAAAGTAGGTCAAACAGCACAGGGGACATGAACAGATTAGTTGCCATAAGCTGACTGGTACACTATCTCACTGTGTTCAAGGAAATTATACTAGTATTTAAGGAAATTATAATGAGTAAACTGCTGACCCCAGTGCTCAGCCCTCAGCTAAAGCATGCTGCGTAACTTGAAGAAATATGTGAAGGAAGATCTTTGCACAGCATTGTTTTTTTTTAACTTCCCTTTCCCCCAAAATATCACTTAAAACTTACATAGGAAAATCTATCTTGCAGAAAGAATATCCTCCAGGGAGTTTATTTGCAGTAATTTGAACAACACTACGTACTAATCTTGCAAGCAGAGCTATAAAAGTTTATCTAGTAAAATATTCAATAAGCCACTATGATTGCTACCTGGAAATACTGAATAATGGTGGGGTCAAAAAAATTCTTCAAGAAAAACAGTGCTGTAATTGTCTTGGATGAACTCAACAAATGTCAGGTCTGAAAACCTTGACGAATTTATCTCCCAAGGTGATCTCTGTTAAAGCAGATCTTATCTCAGGGAGGTAGCCATAGGGAATACATTTTCCATTTGCTTTTGGAGAGAGGTTTTTTTCATGCGTCTGTTCATTTAGCACTAAACTCTGATGAGATATATATTGGTAAAAGCATTTTCAATATATATTTCTGGATGATGCCATTAGAATTTGGGAGAGATAAACAGTCCTAGGAAGGCTATTTTAAACTAAATAACAACTGCTTCTTTTTCTAAGGTGTAAGGTTGTTGTTTTTGTTGTTGGTGGGGGTTTTTTTGTTTGTTTGTTCTTACAGTCATTGTTTTCATTATTCTAATCTCTTAGAAGACAGGAGGCTTAATTCAGTGCTTGCTTTAGAACTGTGACAGCTTTCCCTGGATCAGTGGCTTAGCAAGGGGACTGGTGGGATGTTGACTGTGAAGACAGAGGTGAGACAAACATGTGGGGAAGAAGTGGGCTTTTAAAATGAAGCTCCAGAGGAAGATAGTTAAAGTGGTAAGATATAGACAGTAAAAGTGGTAAAATATTCCATGTATAGGAGTTTTTGAAAGCTAGAAAATGTAGAAAATATAGTGTTCCAAAGTCTGGGAACTATCTAAGCAAAGAAGCAAAGAAGTATAAGAAATGTTACTTAAAGGCTATTCTCTATTGCTCTGAAACCTTTCCTCCAAAAACTTTCTGAAAATTGATGTTTTAGAACAGTTTTTCATTTTCTCTTTTGGACCGCCCACCCCTGAGCCAGGGTAGGTCTTTGTTGTTCCAAAAGGCTCAAAAATATTGTGAATAAAAAATAAACAGGACCAATCTCTCACCCCCAAACCCTTTGATTAAAGAAGATATTTTAAAAATGTTTTCTTACGCTCTGTTGAAATTTGTCTACAATTTCTTCCTCAGCGTATTTGACAGCCTTTGCTTCTTGCTTCCTGCAAGACTGTCCTTGATTTGTCTCTGTTCCATAAACCAGAAAAAAGTAGGTTAGTTGTTATCATTGTTGCACAAAACCAACAGTTGGCACAAAGACAGCAATGTTTATAACTCAGGCATCCTTGGACATTTTTTATATTTCAGGCATTTTACATAAAAGAGATATGGCAACTGGAGAGCAGATGACCCAGAGCAATTAAGGCAGTTTGAACCCGGTAACTCCCATAACAGTAGTACGCAATTTTTTCCATTGCACTTTCTCCAGTACAGTGGAAAAATCTGTTTTATTGGAGTTGGACGTAAGATATTGCCTTCAAGAAATTGAGTTTCTGTGACGTGAGGGATGAGTGCCTCGTGTTTGCAGCCTGCACTGCTGAATTTGCCATGGAGGCCTTAGAAGTTCAATGGTTCAGCCTCCATTTCTGCCACTGCAGAATGATTCCCTACACCAAATTTCTTTAGCGTTATGATGACAGGGCCAGTTTCTATTGGAAAAAAATTCCCTTGCAGAAAGCATTCCTCGCATGGCTAGATAGGCACTAAGGAAGAACAGAGATTCCAGCAGCCAGGGATATGGTGTAGAGATCTGCAGCTAAAAGTCAAAGTCACTGTGTGTTTCTAAAAAAAAATGTTTCAGTTGCTGAAAAAAAACCAAAACAAAACCATCACCAAAACAGGGAAAATGAGACACTCAACCAAACAGCGTAAGAAAACTCATCTACATGCAAGACATCATGAGACAACCCACTGCCTAATTTGCAGCAGATTTCAGATTCAGGTGACGCAAATCCTGGGACTCATTTGTGCAAGTTATCAAAGCAGTCTGGTGGCAATGAGTTTGAGTTTGCTCTTTTGCTATCAGTCCCTCCTGCTGGGTTCACCCTGTGGTTTGATTTCATACCCGTAACCCATTTGAGGTGGCTAACAACCCTGCAAGAATTTGCTCTACAAAGATGAATTGTATATCCTGGACTCTCTTAATCTAATTAAGATTGATGCTAATTGATGCTTAATTGATGCAATAAACTCTTACATACCCTTGATGCATGTGTTGCTTTTGCAAACAAGGCCCAAACAATTTCCTCTTTGAGCAAGGCAACCAGCTTCTGGGCTATCCATGCCTTTGGTGTTCCCAGGACCAGAGACACAGGCAGCATCCAGCTACCTAGTCCTGCCCCCACTGGTGTCATTTTCCAGTGCCCTCAGTGACACCACCACTCTATGGAAACTTATCCTTTGGATATGGTACCCACCTTCGATTATTCTTTCATACTCTTGTTCATGGATCTTGTTTGTTTTTTTAAAGGTAGTTTTATTTTGGAGATAATTCATGCTGCTTTGTTTGGAGTGTTATGTGTTAAGATATACTGTTCGTTTTTTTTGGGAAAAGGCCATTGCTTTATGTTAGAAAGAACAGATGAAAGGGAGGAGAAAGGTAGGACTTCTGTCAGTGAGAAAACCTAATCATAATCATAATAATAAAATGGCTTGGGTTAGAAGGAACCACAAAGATCATCTAGTTCCAACTCCTAGCTGTGGACAGGGCTGCCCCCACTAGCTGCCCAGGGTTGCATCCAACCTGGTCTTGAGCACCTCCAGGGGTGGGGCATCACAGTTTTTCTGGGCAGCCTGTGCCATTGCCTTATCTGTACTCAGCAAGTCTGTGTGTTACTGAAGACCCCACCTGCATGAATGGCTCTTGGGCAGCAGGGGTCTCTCTGTTCCCTCCTCCACCTGGAGCATCGCATGGTGGGCAGAGAAGAAATGCAGTTGATTTGTAATGTGTACAGAAGGACCAATGGCTCTTGGCACTACCAAGTATATATACAGCACATTAATGCTGATGGTGCACTCCATTATCCTGCAAACTAGCTCTTCTACGGGAGGCAGTGGGTCTGAATGGGCAGAGTGCTGATACATGCTGGTGCAGACAATTGGGATGAGTGAAGGCTGAGTGACTGTGTTCACCTCCCTTCCTTCCTCAAACCAGAATAGATCTCAGACATAGGAGAAGGGAAAAAATATCTCTTAGCTTCCAGCATGTGCTTCCTTCAGCTTTTTCTGTCATTATCCTCCTCCACCGAAGCACTAGATACCTTGTTTCTTCCAGATGAAAGCTGAAGCCACCCACAATGTCAACAAGTGGGTGGCTAATAAATCCATTCAATGACATGAGACTTGTTGTGATTTCTTTTCTGGTGAGACTGTAGAGGGTACACTGTGGGACTCAGTTCCCTAGAAGGTGATAAGGATGTTCTCCAGGGCTGCAGAGCCACCTGTCCCACCACCATCACTGGTTCTGCACTGGGTTTTCTCAGGTTTCCACTGCAAATGTGACCAGCAGCTGCTAAGGGAGCTCCTGAGATTCATAGAATCATTAAAGTTGGAAAGACCACTAAGATCATCTAGTCCAAAAATCAACTTATGCCTATGATCACCCTAAACCATGTCACACAGTGCAACAGCTACTCTTTTATTGAACACCTCCAGGGACAGAGACTCCACCATCTCCCTGGGCAGCTCGTTCCAATCTCTTCAGGCATGCTTTGTTGCAAATTAATGTGGTCATGAGGCAGCGAACTCCTTAAGGGCAGTTCAACTCCTGGAAAGCAGAAGCAGTGTGCTCTTATGGGATAGACACTCGGGCAATGGGGTGCATTCTTGTGTTCTACATTTCCTGGAAGAGACTGGGACTGCCTCTGAAGTGGATTGCCACTCCTCTCTCCATCTTGACTAGATCCCATTATGTCATAAAAGCCTACAAATGATTTCAGTGGGCTTTAAAAGTCCATGTTTACATGTCACCTTTTCCTCTATTTAACTGTGCTTTACTGATGGCAAATCTTCCCAGAAACAGAAAGGCGTATGTGGATTCATGATGCCATAATGTGATTGAGAGGGATTGGGATGCTCAGCGATTTGCCCTCCGCGCAGCTGACATCCTGAAGAAAAGAGCCCTCTAGAGGAAATTTCCCAGATGATACGGTGCAGTTGCTTAGCAAAGCAGAAAGCACGATAAAGGGATCAATGAAAAAACACACAAGGTTGGGGGAAACGAGCTAAATAAAGAAAGGGATGAGCACTTTTTCTTAAAATTTACCATCAGAAAAGATTTTAAACCATTTGGTGGCAAACATCGCCAAAATCCTTGTTCAGTGACTTCTGCAAAACCCTCTGAAACACTCTAGGTTAGACATTTTCCCATGGAAATAATGAGATTGTAATATTTGGAGAGGAAAATATTTAAATGTTTATGAAATATTTTCGAATTTTCAAGGAAGAGTCCAAACTGCTGTAATTTTTTCCTCCAAGAGAGGACTTAATTTTTTTGAAATTACTTTTTATTTTTTCAACACCTGCTGTTCAAGAAATGCAAACAATTTACAGCCAAGAAACAGCCAGGCTTTGTGCTGTAACGAGCATCCCAGGCAGCACCTGCTCCTGGACCAGAACCATCATTAGCCATTGTTTGCACACCTTGTTACAGGAGCAAAGCATAAAAGACCAGGATTGGTGGCTTCTCTAACAAAATGGTGTGTGCTGGTATTGCTATATGTTCTTCTTATGTAAAGGGATGCATGAAATGCTCAGATAGCATCTGAGCTGTTAGTTCTCTTTAGTTTCTCTAAAGAAATTATTTGGAATCAGTATTTCCTTGGTGCTGCCACCAAGATAAACCATTGCAGGAAAGCATGTGGCAGCCTCTGCTGTGAGCTCATCTCAGTGTGACCTGGCAGCTTATCACTGCAAGCACTTCTGCAGGATGTAATCTCTAGTGCAGATAGTATCACCTTGTGTAAGTGGATAAACCAGACATCTTTACAGCTTTGAGGTGAACCTCCAAGTGATCCCATACCAAAGCCACAGCATAGCTTGCTGTCAGTAGCCCTTTGCCCAGCTTGATGATGAAAGGAGTTACACTACTGAAATCTACTTTTTTTTTTTTAACCAGATACATCTAACTCCAGTACTTTCTGCTCGTTGTCCTTCACACCCTAGCATTTCTCTAGCTCCCATGAAGGCAGTGGGGAGCTGGCTAGTCCCACTCATTGGGAAAGAAAAGTGGAACCTGCTCCTACAGGTGAGCCACCACCTGTTCCTGATGCAGTGTAAGCCTGGGTTCAGCACAGCTGGGTGCTAGGCCAAGGTACGACCTCCTGGAGCTGCTCTCTTCTACGTCATCTGACTGCATTGCCAACAGCTCTTCTCTAGGTAAATATTTCAAGCATTTCTGTTTACAGATGTATCTATTTGCAGACTATTCTTTATGTGTAAGAAGAATATTCAGGCCGTCAGAAAGAGACTTTCATGTACTGGTTGGACAGACAGTGGCAGGTTTGTGCCCTTTTGTGTTGCAGTGCTTATAAGTTGTGTTTCATAATGATAAGCTGTAACACTGATGATCTCTGCTTGTCTATGTAGCTCTTTCCAGTAGCATTAGTAGAAGAGATACATCCTTACGTCTATGTTGCACCTTCTATGCATAAATTTACAAATGGTTTTGTTTTCCAAATATGCCCTTGTGTTCTGTATTTGGAAGGTCTCTTATTTTCAATGTGTTAAGGAAGAGGTTAAGTTTTCTCATTTAGAGGTTAACACAGGGATGTTTTATGTTTCCATATGTAAACTATGGAAGTAAGACAGACAAACGTGTGTTCAGGGTACAAAGAAAGAGGGGAAAAAAAGAGATGGGGTGAGAAAGAAAAGCAGAGGTTGGCACTGACCTCAGGATGAGATGACTTGGTATTGCTTATAAACTCCAATATTCCCTGAAATTATAACACCATTTCAAAGGGGCAAGGAGGGGGGGGGGGGGGAATGAATTAACATGATTTTAATTCAAAGTGAAACTGGTTCTGCCATTGTCAGATGACAGAGAATTCCACTGTAAGGCATTGTGTACTAAATATTTGAGAAAGAGAGCTGTCTGAAGATTTGACAACTGTGATTTGCCTTGATATCACATACTACGTTGTTATAGCATTTTAGTTTGGATTTAAATCCAGAGTGAACTGAAGGAATTTGTCACATTCATGGTTTGGTTGACAAAGCTTGAAACTAATGAAATGTACAGAATTAGCTCATTCCTGGTACTCCTCACAGGTGACTGGATTCACAAGTCTTGCCCTAGATCACTGTGTTTGCAGAAAACTACCTTTTTCTTGCAAAGAACTTACTGTCAGGCTTTGAATTAACACACCTGTAAGAATCATGAGAGTTCCAGTGAGTGGTGCTGCTGAAGATCCCCATGCTGTATTTGTAGGGAAGATGCTTTTTTAAAAAAAATGAAAAATGGAAATTATTTTCTCTTTACCTGGACAAAGAGAATCCCTCATGAGGATTCCATTTTCAGAGACTGAGCTGAATTCAGTTGCCTATGGAGATCAGGTTGGATACCAGGAAAAATTTTCTCTGAGAGCAGTGAGGCAGTGGCACAGGCTGCCCAGGAGGGAGGTGGTGGAGGTTCAAGAAACATGTGGATGAGGCACTGAGGGATGTGGGTAGTGGACATGGTGGGAGTGTTTGGTGGTTGGTTCGTCATGATCATCTTAGAGGTCTTTTCCAATCTTAATGGTTCTCTGATTCTGTCTTGTAAAGGGGTGCTCCACAACACGGAGAGCAAAGCCATGCAGGGTCAGGCATCACTGATCCATGGGCAAGATCACAGTTGGCTTTACTTTCCAGTACCATTTAGGGACATCTTCCGGAGATGCTTCCAAACAGTTGAACATGGCTGGAAGGCAGAGCAATTTGTTAGCTTTGTAAAGGATCCTTTGCCGTGTGCAGAGAACTTACTGTTTTGTCTGTGTTTGGCTGCGTGTTATTTTAACGTGTAAGTTTAGTCACCCCTCTTTCTTCACCAGAAATAACTAGATCAGATATTGTAGAACTGGAGTTGTCTCTGGGTAGCTCTATTATTTTCATTAAGTGAACCTAAGCTGCAGAAACAGTCTCTGTACACGAGACTCAAAATCAGGGCAGTGAAAACCTGATGCTCTGCCTTGATGAACATCAGTGAAGTTTGCACTGTATCACAGGCCTATTTTCAGACTTACAAACTGTTTTTTGCAAACTTCCATACTAATAGTAATTGCCCTACTGAGCTATGCAATGCAAGTAATCAACACAAATATGTTAATTAGCCTAATGACATGTTTGCAGTAAGGAAGGGGGTATGCTGGCAAATGATGCCCAATCTCTTCTTTCAATGTTTGAGTAACGTACAGGAAGTGAAAGCAATTTGTGCAATTATGTGGATCTCCCAGGCTATCAAACTTGACAGACCATGGGTTTCAGGGAAGGACTCTTCCATGTTTTGAACGTACTCCCAAACATGCAGTTGTCTCCAGCAATCCAGAGAGTCTGTAAATTGCCCTAGTTGTTTCACCCTTGGGTTTTATTGCTGTTGAAAGGTTGTTTATTTATTTACTTATTTTCAATTATGGGTTGCACCCTTGCAGAGTACTGGAAGTGCAATGAAACCTTGGAATAGGCAATCACAGAGTTGTACCCTGCCTTCTAAAAGCTTGTCAACAGTGTAAACATCAAATGTTCCTAGGGCTATCATAAAGTGAACCTGACATGGTGCCTTGGAGGAATTGCTTAAATTTGGGCTTGAACTATACTACAAAGCCTTTCATCTTCTCTTTCAGAAGTTATGGTCAATATTGATAGAATAATTCATTTGCAAGTTTGAAAATAAAGATGCAAAGCTATATTCTGTTTCTAAGCATAGGTAGTAATCCTGCCCTTGACTGGTTTGTAGCACTCAAATTACTCAAGTAATTTAGAAGAAACAGATTTAAAGTTATTAAGTCTGAGACAGGATACCTTGGAACAGTAGTTGTGTATGTAGCTGGAAGAACGCAAAGGAATGGGCTTGATTTGGGCCAACCAAAGCTTTAGCTGTGTAAGGCATGACTAATAGGATTTCTAACAGAGCAGTTTTAGAGTCTGTTGAAGACCTTTATTTCCCCTAACTTGAAAATGTTTTATTTATCTTTTCCACTAATTCTAAGCTAAATTTCATTGCTATGCATTTAGGCTTGTTTGGTAGGAAATTATGTATACAATTCCTTTTGGAAACTTTGGATGGTAATCAGCAGCGGACTGAAATACTTAGCTCATTAAGCACTCAGCTGTTCTGTGTAGAATGGGATGCTTGCTTTTCATGTCAGCTGGAGCCAGAGTGTTGGAAAGCAGGATACAGAACTAATTGGCAAATTAGCATAGATCAAGTTGCACTTGTGGAAGCTGTGAGTAATTTGGATATGAAGGTAGGAAGTGTTTATTGGAGGATGCAGCAGTGCAGGGAGCTGGGGCAGCCTACTCAAGCACTGGGGCATGAGTGTGTTCAGGAGCGTGGTATCTATTGAGGTGGAAAACAGTTGGTGGTCATGCCAGGGTGCTGTATGACCTTATTCAAGACAACAATCCTCTTCTTCCAGTGACTTTGCTTTTTGAGATCAGGCACAATTTGAAGGATGACTGTGTGTCTTAGTATTGATTAAAGGTGTGATTGTACTAATTTACTTAGACATTCATGGACTTCTGAATAGTTAGGAGATGCCGCTCAGAAAACGATGGTGCACAGGTGTTAATTTCTTCTTAGTGCTAGATTTTATTCTAGTCTTTGTATAAGAACGTATATTCTCCTTTCAGGTTTATGTCTAGCTCATGGTCTACCCATGGTCATTTTCTGCCTATTGCTTCTGCAAACTGTTCAGCGCTTACACATTGATGAAGGAGATGAGTGGAGGGCATGTTTAGGGGATGCTTCAGCAGCAAGCGCAAAACTCTGTAAGGTGATGGGCATTTTGATGTTTAGTGTGCTAAAGTGCATGCATGCTGTGCTGGATTGTTTTTGTGGTG